AAAACACAAAGAACATACTTCATTTTTGTTTGATTTTGCAATTAATTGAGTGAACAAGTTTATTTTAATCTCTCCTCCCATTGAAACAAATGAAAATCCTGAGCAAACTCTCCTATCTAGCGCAAGCGCCAACTATACTCATTGGGTAGGGAAGATTGCGCACCCACGTGATCGGCATGAAAATTTCCACAGTGACTCGCAACAGCATGAAACACTAGTCTCAACAAAGAACTAACTTAGAAAATACTTTATTTGCAATTATTTAGAGGTGAAACATTTCTTATGAAAATATACGAAACATTCCAGAAAATTCAAGCCCTCACCTTCTACAGAACAAGCAGAAAATTGGCAATAAAACACAGAGAACAGCTTGCATCGACACATAAATTTAACTGAAGCCTCTACTAGTGGTGTGCTTACTGCTCCTCACGCTGTTGTACGCACATCTTACCCCCTTCCACCTAAATTTAGACATGCGCAAACTCTCCTACCGCGCAATCTCTGCTAGCTTTACCTTATACATAGATAAGAAAACACGATAAACTGCAATTTTCTTCTTTCAGGGGTGCACCATGAACACGTCTAAAGGCGCGAAACGTCCGAATGGTGTTGAGGCGGAGAGCATTCAGTCCAACAGAATACGTCCCATCAAAGTAACAGCGGTCGGCGACGGAATGGTCGGGAAGACATGCCTTTTAATCACATACGTATCAAAACGTTTTCCCACAGAGTATGTTCCAACAGTGTAAGTGTTTTACTTCGAATGCCATATTTACGACGTTTCGTAAAGAAAGTTATATCTTAGTTTTAGAGTAATTGTTTTATAATGTCGCAAAAGAAAACCAGGATGAAAAAGTGGGAATGGACAAATGTACTGAGGAAACTGAAGTCGAAACCGGGAACGTTTGAGTACAAGGCTTCTGCGCTACTAGACCACCGTGGCAGCCCATCTGAAGACAGGAATAGTCAACTCTCGAAACGTCATTCATATTAAACATACCGAAAATATGAGCGATGTCCATCGTAATATAATACTTAAATAATTAATCGATCTTTGTTATAACATTTACTGAATGCTCGCAGGTTTGACAATTACGCTGACAACATAACAGTAGATGGCCAAGAATTTAATATGACACTGTGGGACACAGCTGGGCAAGAGGATTATGAACGACTCAGACCACTGTCATACCCAAATGTAAGTATTGAAATGCATAGAGACATTTTGCCTGATTGGACTACTCTGCTGAATCAGACTCTGCCTGTGCGGGTAATGTCTCCAGCAAAAGGTAAGGGATAATGTTAAGATGTTACATAAGCATTAGTGCATCACGTGTAATTCAGAATTTCACTGTTACAAGTGGTTTGACCTTTAACAGATGTACCTGCTCAAATACTCGCTTAGATAACATTGTGTAAATTTCCTGACATGAAATGTAGGAAACCTATCAATTAATTTATCATAATTTATCATAGTTTCGTTTGTGTGAAACTCGTGGTTGAGTGATTAATTTCCAGTGTGAATTGATCCTGAAGCAGTAAAGAATGTACAGTTACAAAATAACATCGGGATCGCTGTTTCGCCGTTAAGTGGGCCGTCTTCTTTTTCCACAAGCAAATGCCGCGTTTGGGACTTTTGTGTCAACTGCAGAGAACAGCTTTCCAATTAAGCGTCGAAGTATAACTCGCGCTGGTAATTGATTCTTAAACGATCCTTAACTAACAATGAGTGAAATTTGACAATCAAGTACGAGGTTTAGCGGAGACTATTACAATGTCTTGGAGAGATATTGCTTAAAAATGAAAATCCTGCAAGGGAAATGGTATAATAGTGCTTCGGCAATGAATGGCAAGCTTAGTAACGGACAAGTATACGTGACGTACACTTCCACGTTAGTAAGTCCGCTGCTCTACCCGTAGTCTGAGGCCTATTTAACTATTTCCACGCTTAAACGAATTATGGAAAACGACGTTTACCGAAGGTGACTATACACACAGCGAAATTAACATTTCAGACTGTGAGCTAAAAATGAACTAACTGTCATTAAAATCATTACCAGATTTTCGATTACAGTAAAGAGCGTATTTGTTTTTGTTGCGTTTTATAAAAACAATGTCTCTTTTACATAGTTATAGTTACGCGAGCCGGATTAATAAATAAAGGCAAGGCCTGTTATGACATGCCTTTGTATACCGGCTGAGATTCGAACCAGTTACATCTAAAATAAAAGTGCTGAGCGTTAAAACATATTTGGTTGTGATAAGTTGTGTAACCCCAGATGGGATCATACATTGAAAGTAGTGGATAAGTAAGTGATTTCATGGTTTGACCAAGAGAGAGAGTGAGAGAGAGGAAGTAAAAATGTAACATGTCTTTCCGCTGCTTTGGAATGTTTCAATTTGTAAAATCGTAGATAAGTCTTTTTTATTTTGTGACTGTTTTTATATTATTGAATATCCGTAATTTAATTTCACGTGTTTTGAGAGGAATGTTAACACGTGAAATGAAAATGGATTATTGATATCAGTATTTACGTGAATAATTTTTGTTTCATGTCTCGGACCATTAGGCTGTTGCTATTTGGTTATTGATTTGGTTGTTACTGCCTTCCCATCTTCAATTTTGGCCTAAAATAGAGTCCCACAATTTATTTGTTTCAGACGGATTGTTTTCTTTTGTGCTACTCCGTATCCAGTAGAACTTCATTTGAAAACGTGGTATCGAAATGGTGCCCAGAACTGAAACATCATATGCCACATGTTCCCATTGTATTAGTTGGTGAGTAGAGTACAGTATTTTTTGCATACATACGTACCATAGGGGAACGCATGGATATTGTATGTTCACTAGTTGGCAGGGTTCGCAGTGGCCGCGGGTTCGAATCCCACTCGAGCCATGGATGTTTTTCTGTGTTGTGCTGTCCTGTGTACAGATAGAGGCCTTGAGACGGGCCGATCCCTCGTCCAAGGAGTCCTACCGAATGTCTATAGATCAAAGCCAACGAAAAGTTGGGACCCGCAGTTCTCAGGCACTTGAAGAACAGGTCGTTCCCAGTATCCCCAGTATGGGTTTATTTAATTCCTACATACAAATGCCAAGAATGCCATGAAAAAGTTTAATATTACATTAAATAATGGTTTAGTGAGGGAGGTATGAAAATTTATGCCAGTATTAAAAATTATTTGTGAAATTTTTAACAATTTTTTTTTTTTTTTTTTACTGATTTGAACTCGCCCTTACCTTGACATCATAATGAAAACCTGTGTACAATCTTGTTAATGTCACTCTACGACTAATACCGACGCTGGGATAGCTCACTCAGTACAGTGACAAGGCTGTAGGTTGAATGACAGGGGTTCAGTATCTTTCTTTATTGGCTTCCATGTCCAGACGAGCCCTGGGGTCCACCCAACCTCCTATCTGGTGGGTACCAGGGTTCTTTGTATGGTAGTAAAGTGATAGGTTATAAGGCTAACTGATCACCTCCATCTTGTGCTGAGGTTAAAAGTTCATGGAAATATACCTCCACTCCCCCATACGTCTGTATGACGCGATGCATAGTTAAGCACCAACAGACAACTTTATTGTTAGCACCACCAGCGTTGCTGTTACTTGGGAAATTTTGAGTTGGGCAACTTATGAAATGTATTTTAGGCAGGAGACTACAATCTTAACGTCAGGATTAATAAAATATCTTAAACGTTTAATGCCTTTCTCAGAAATTTGTAAAAAAAAAAAAAATAATTCATAGGAAATAACTTTTATTTTGATCGGTTTTAAATATTCATTAAACCCAAACATGTTAAAGACGAAATTTTCGATGTTACGCTTTGAACTATTTGTACGATCTTATTAAAAGGATAAATTGGAAAAATCCACTTTCCTCCTTTATGTTATGAATCAAAACATTTCCACTTTTCTTAGAGTTATCACTGTCTCGGAGTTGATTCTTGTTTTTTTTTAAAATTACATAATTTTCGGTCAAATAAAAATTCTTACATTGTAATTAATCTACTGTTTCAAATTACCAGCCACGAAGATAGATCTACGAGGGGAAGATCCTGAATGTATTTCATTTGCTGAAGGGAAAAAGCTGAAACAGAAGATACATGCAGCAAGATATGTTGAGTGCTCAGCCATCAAAGGTGAGGGTCTTCAAGAAGTTTTCATTGAAGCCATCAGAGCAGTGATGAAGAAACCACCGACTGTGAGGAGAGCTTGCAGTTTTCTCTAGTCTGCAGCAATCATGAATTGAAATTATTGGAAAGTTCCAAATCTCTTGCACAAAAATTAAAGAAGACACTGACGACAACACAGGGTTGCCAATTTGTGTGTGTGTGACTGATATGAGATAAGCTATATCTAAATATTATGGGCATTGAGAAGATGGCAGTCTTCTGGGTTGTAGCACTGTGTAGTCTGGTACAAGTTTACTAATGTTTCAGAGGTCATTGCTGCCTCCATCATCAGGGCCTCAAACCATAAGACGGCCATCTTCATACTCACCGCTGCGAGAACCTCAAATCTTACCTATTATGGGCATTGTCCATGATAATTATTTTTTTCCAACCACGACATTTCAAAAAAGGGATCAGGTAGCAGATGGGGAAGGTTCCTATTCAGACAGAGCTAGTCTAGATCCTGTTTCTGAAATATCGTGTTTGGAAAAATTTGTGATGACGGACAATTTCGAAAATTGTAACCATGTTTGTGATTTGAGATAATTTGATACTTAGTGGAGTTATTTTAGTGGAGAGACATGTCTTACAAGTGAAATCCAACGTAAAGAAAGCGAAGTGTCTCGTGTGTCTTTACGTTAAAAATCTGTATCCTACAGTGTCTTTTGCTGAGCAACTTGCAAAATAATAATAGCAATATTAATAAAGTATTTTTTAGTATGGCAGAAAATCAGAGTCATAACCAGTCTAAGTAGAAGCTGCTGCCTTATGCTAATTGGAATTTTATTATTTTACATCAAAATGTGCCAACAAATATATGCATCATGGACAGGATAAATACTGTGGAAACAGTAATTAAATATTTATTATGGTTAATGTTTTAAACTACTATCATTTGAATTTCCAATTTATTCAAATTACTTTAACAGTATTTTTTATATTGGAGTTAATGTTACGTGATGTATGTTACCTATTATTCTTTTATTGTTATTCAGTGTTCTGTCTGACAACAGATCCATTGCTCTGCCCAAAAAGAGCTCTCCAGTTTTCCCTATTCTCAGCTTCTCGTTTTAATTCATGGAACTTCATCTTCTTTCCTTGTTTCAGATCGTCGGTTAGCTGTATCCGTCTTCTTCCCTGTCCTCGCTTTCCTTCAACCTGGCCTTCGATGATATCACTCAGTAATCCATTCCTTCTCATAATATGTCTCAGCCAGTTAGCTTTCCTTCGTGTAATCGCCTGCAGAATGCTTCTTTGCTCGTTGACTCTCCTCAATACTTCTTCGTTGGTCACTCGATCCGTCCACCTGATCTTCTCTATTCTTCTCCAACACCACATTTCAAAACTCTCCAGGTATTTCTGTTCCTTCTTCCTGAGTGTCCAAGTCTCTGCTCCATACGTAACACTTCACTAGTTTCTTCTTCATCTCCAAGCCCAACTTGCTAGTGAGAAGTATCCTCTTCTTGACGAAAGCTGCCTTGGCCATGGCTATCCTTGCTTTTACTTCCTTGGTGCATAGGGCGTCCGTCGTGACTATGCTTCCCAGGTACTTGAAATGCTCCACCTTCTCCATCTGTTGGTTTCCAACTACAACGTTCAATGGTTCTGCTCTCGGTGCTATCCTCATTACCTTTGATTTTTCAATGTTGATTTCCATTCCATTCCATACTCTCTACCTGTTTCCACTAACTTGTCCATCATGTTCTGTACTAAGTCATCTGCATATGTTACCTATATTAAGATTTAATGTCATAAATACAGTAGAGTCTCAATTATCTGGCCTTCTTTTGTCTGACATTCCATTTTATCCGACGTACTGTGCAAATACCCATTACTATTTTTTTTAAAAATAAACTCTTTTATTTACAAATTTACATTCTGTTAAATACTATCTTTGTGAGATTTTTCTTCTGATGCTGTATTATATTTTCTTCGTAATTAAAAAATATCATAAATTAAGTTATTAACTTACTTATTATATACCCTTGTCTTTTTCATTCGTCTTCCATGTTGTCCGACAATTTTATTATCCAGTCGACCTTCGGTCCATTTTAGGTTAGGACTCTACTGTATGTGAAAAATCAGTGTAATTTACTAGTATTTGGAAACTGATGATGTATGAAAAATCTTTATATGAACTGAAACTGTATTAAATATCATTTATATGTACTGTTGTATTCAATAGTAATTTTAGTCATTGTTATTTTTCTTAATTCTAAACCTTTGATTTTCACCCATATAATTCCTGTCGTAAAATTATAATAATTTTAACACCTTCTTTAATTAAAAGCACATATCGTGTTGCATCACTGACTGCACACAGTCATGTACATAGCATTGGTCAGTTTGCAGTCGGGCCACAGTGTAGTGAATCTTGTGGCATGTGTAAATCCATGGAAAAAGCAAAGGTAGAAGACCATGACTCAAGAGGAAATGTGTATCATTCCACTAACAGCATGTAGTGGAAATTAGGTAAGCAGATAAGAATTGACCTTAAGATAAGAATAACTACCTCTGATCTGTAACTGTGCTCTGAAATAAAAACAGAAATAACCCAATTTACATCAGGTGTATTTATATTAAAAATGTGTAACAACATTAGGAAAATTAAGCTTATTGGTTATTTTAAAATCACCACCTGTTCTGTGATCGTTTTTGCACCCATTTCCTTTTTTGGTACAAACTATAACCTATTTAACAGTATGGCCTAATTGTGTATATTCTAAAAGTGGGGAAGAAAATAGTGTCTTCATATAATATTCAAATCCATGGATTTAAATCAAGCTGATGATGTTTTGGCTCCTAGTGAGATACTTTGATAATGAGTAATGGCATGTTAGGTTTCAAACCTTCTGCTGAATTTTCTTTTTGTAATCTCCATATCAATAATCAAAGACTGTTTGATATTTGTCATTTGATTAAGTGGATAACAAACTGAGATTAATCAATATTAATATTTTCTCAATATCACCCACATTGCTGATCAGACTTTTGAAAATGTGCTCTATGACTGAAAGGGTTTTTATAATAGAATAAAATGAATTAAACGGTGACTCCTATCTTATGTTGTGGGCCAGAACTTCCCCTGTCCATAACTCTTTCTTGGCAAATCTCCAAAATTGTATTTTGGGTATACTAGGCTAGTTCTCATATGGCGAGGGGGCATGTATTGTATAAATCATCTACAACAGCATAAGATAAAAGTTTTCCTGCATTTGGGATTCATGATATGACTCAATTTTTAGTTTTATTGCCTGATCATAACAGTGCAAGGCCTGGAACTACACAGGACAACACAACACAGAAGGTGGTGGGTGGATGCCCCCCCACCCTGGTTACAAAGCAATATGACCTACTGACAGAGCGACACCTGGTAAACGGTGACGGCAAATTAGAAATATTATTACATAGGACCCGTGGTGCATTAGTGAATGTAAGTTGGCAACAATTATTGCTGTAACATCACAGATGTTGGTGCAGTCTGTTGATGGAGGTAACAGTCATAATTTGTGCTAGTTATGTGAAAAAGTCTATTAAGAGGTTGGAGTGAAGATGAATACGGTAACATCTCCTTCCGTTGAATTAAGTTCATATCGAGATCAGCATTTTAAAGTGAGTATATGTAATATGTACTGAATGTAATTAGTTTTAATAAGTGCTCAGATTCTCATTTGCGTACCTCAAGTCAAGCTTAATCTAACCTCACTTAAATTTGTAAATTTCTGTAGGATTTGGAGTCGATGAGTTATGGGTGTCTGTTTCTCAGTAATAAGCATTGCTTTTTAAGTGTGGAAGTTCCTGTGTTTATCAGAATTTAGTGCTGACGATTTTCTTTATTGTGTTATTTAATATTTATTTTAATAACTGTTTCGTAGGTAATATCAATATAATTTTTAGAATATTTTGCATTTTTGTCCTGATATAGATTTAATTCTAACATTATTGTTACAAAATGTTTTAAATTCAAATTTAGATGCAGTGTTATATATAACCATTATATTCATTTGTCCTGTAATAATGAATTCTTCCCGGGCTATCAGCCGTGTCTGGTGGTTGAAAGGCGAAAATTACCAGCGTTTCGAGAATATACCATTATAGTAGGCATACATTACTTTAATATTAATTTTACTGAGAAATGTGATATTAATTGTACATATTATTAAACTTCTTTTCGATTCCACTTTGTCTTTACCAGTCAATAAGTACGCATTACTGTCACAATTATTGTTGTTATTATTGTAATTTAACCATTTGATTCTGAGTTCTCTCTCTTGCTGTTTGCATTATGTATCATTTACTACATTACATTACCTGAATAATGTGCCTTCCACTGCAAACAGTGCTGTGCCAGTGGTGCCATTGTTAGAAGTGGATGGGGTTGAGGTACTTGCTCAGTAGTAACTGGAATTTGTAAATGTTTACAATTCAGTATTTTATTTTATTTTTTTGAAGGGTTCACGTGGTGAACAAGAAAGACTTCTCCGAACATCCACCACCATGTATATTGGGAATCTCTCCTTCTACACCACAGAAGAGCAAATATATGAACTGTTTTCAAAATGTGGAGATGTTAAACGAATAATTATGGGTTTGGATAAATTCAAAAAGACACCATGTGGATTTTGTTTTGTTGAGTATCCTTTAGCTACACAAATATAACTGATATGTGTGATAGCACCATAATTATGTTGAACAGTGGGTTTGATGTATACATAACAGGTAGATAACTAAAGCAGTTTTGAGACAGGGAATCTAGCTATGCTGTCTTTGTTTCAACAATTACTTTTTTCAGTATATTCATGCTCTCATTATATGCAGTTTGTCCTGAATGAACTTTAGATACATTGGCATAAATTTATGTATTGTACTGCTGTAAACCTCCTTATATACGTTTAGGGTTTTTTCTTCTTCAGAACTTGAACATTGATGTCCTTGACAGAATTCCTTGTAAATATGATGAGGTTTCATAATAGGAGGTCTGGACAGTAGGCTAGATTGAGGGGTAGCTGTACGGGAACATTCTGCAATTGCTTGACTGATGTTTTCTCCAGCTCCTTGTGTGGTCAGTTGTCCTCTTTTGTTATCATCCTTAACATATATTTTACTTTTTAATTCAGAAAACTAAATTAAAACTATGACACAGGATAGAACAGTGTCCTGAAAAGTATATTTTAAGAAGTTGGAGAGACCACCTCTCATTTTAGCCACAATGAAATTTATACAAAATTGTGGAACAGAAATGCTGTTCTGTATGTCTGATGGGAAGCAGCTCAGTGTGACATGTTTGAACTTTCATCATCTGTGACACAGCAAATGATGAGCTGTTAATTGATTCCAGTCTGATGAAAAATTGTACTTTGAAATGTGCGTCCAGGTGGCTCTGCTGTATATCTGCAAACTTTTCTAGTGTCCCTAATGAATTGGTGGTTTAGTGGTTAGCGTATAATACTGGTTTTCAAGGGATTCTTGATTTAGCCATAACTGTTGCCACTAATCTTGAAAATTCTGCCAGTAAAACCAGTTGTCTGAAGATGGTAGTAAACCCAACTCCTAAAACATCGTATACCTCTGTTTGTACGGTTTGTTTGTACACCAGGAGGTTGAATGTTGTGGTTAACATCCGTGCTTTGTATTTGGAAGGTTCCAGGTTCAAATCTTGGCCCAGAGATGGGCTAAATTGAATGAGGTTTTTTGTGGTTTTTCTCAGTCCCTCCAGACAAATGCCACGATACACTTCAAATTAGGCCATGACCACTTCCTTCCATATCCTTTTTAATTCTTGTTCCAGTAAGGGGGGTTGTGAGAAGCCTGTCATAATCTGATTTGGCAAAAATTGATGGGCTGGCCATGCAGTATATTTTCTGGGTGGGAGGCCTGGATGTGTGAAGTAGGATGCAATGTAAAAAGTCTCTTGTAGTGTAATACCACCCTCTACTTCCCACAGTGCACTTTTGTGTTCATAAATGAATCTCTGTTGACTGTTATGGTGGTATAACATGATTGGTTAGTGTATTAGGTTTAATATTTATAGATTGATAGTGTTTTGTTTTGTGAGTCAACAATCCTACATATAACCTTGGCAGCTGAGTGGACTGAAAGTCCATGGTTCAGTCAGTCTGCAGAACAGTTGTCTCTTTTATTAGGTGTTATTCCCTTTTGATGCTGCTACTTGGTAATTTTTGCATGTCCTGTAGCACTGGACATGGAAAAGTTAAGAAATATTTTCCTTAATGTGAAAGGTATTATAGCCGAGCAGATGCAGAAAATTCAATGCGGTATATTAATGGTACACGTTTAGATGACCGTATCATTAGAACAGATTGGGATGCTGGTTTTATTGAAGGGCGACAGTATGGAAGAGGAAAAACAGGTGGACAGGTATGTTTACATTTTATTCTGCACGTGACAATAAATTTGCAGTGATTATATAGGGGACTGGTTAGAACTTTAGGTAATTCCAAAATAATCATCTTCCTTGTGCATTGTTTCTGTTTCATACGAGTTGCTGAAATAAAAAAATCCATACTTGAAGTGCTCTTCTTTCTCCTACTGAGTTTGAATATCTTTTACACAGGACAAGAACAAGAACGTTATATTTTTATTATTATTATTTATTTCAATTTTTTTCTCATCTAGGTACGAGATGAATATCGAACAGACTTTGATGGTGGACGTGGAGGTTATGGAAAGATAGTTCAGCAGAAAGTGTCTACACCTGTTCAAGATGTCTCAGTATTCAATCGATAATGAGAGTTCCATGCAAACAGATAAGTTAACAGCAGTTCAGTACCTGAGGCGGTAGTCTTCATGATCACTAAGGCAGAAAATTTTGAGGCTTACTAGTGACAAATGCAATGCATTATATTTGTAATGGAGGTGGTGTCTTGAGCAGTGGAAACACAGGCTGTAATTTCAAATATTTCTTGAATAAAATAGTGTAGTTATATATGGAGAAAACAAATTTTTTACTTATAGTAAATCAATAAATTTTAATTATGTGGAAGGACACATAACTTTGTTACTCCCTCTTCAGAACATAATAATTTATGTAATTCTGCTGAAAATTCCAGTGTTTTAACTGCTCAGACGTGACAGACACAATGGGGTGTTTACTGTACTGTTGGGTTGACTTAAATATGTTGTCAGTAATGGGTCATTTGGCATGCCATGAAATTTCATGTTTAAATTTGTGCTTGTATTAATGATTCCGTACCAATCTTATATGTAATAAACCCTTCTGATATTAAATATTTTTATTTTATCAATCTATTAACTTTATACATAGTTTTTTAGACTAAAGTGAAACAATTTTGGACATTGACAGAAAATATTTATAATACCCTTACAGTTTTAAATGAGATATAAGAAATAACTAAAATATCAACAAGCTGATTTCATAATACATCCCCAAGAGAAAATACTATCACATTAAATATAGTACGATATTTGAAAAATTATATTTTTCCATCAAGAAGTGTTTTAAAGGAAGAGACCATGAGCAATGACTTTTGACCCTGTCAAAAAAAATGGCATCCAAAGAAGACAAAATTGCATACCTGGAAGTGGAAATCTTTGTCTGATAATAATTACTTCCTCTTTGTTTCATAGAGTGGTATTGGGTATTTCATGACATCATTTGACTGACAAAGAGCAGAACCAAAACTTACTAATTTAACAAATACTATTTTTATTGCACCTCCTCATCTTTGCTTTATGAATTTATGCATAACATTTGTGTTAAACTGAAAATGATTTGCCATATTTGTTTAACGGATGTTGGAAATAATTTTCTCTTAAGACAACTTCATGTCTTCTTTTAGCCCTTTTATCAGTAAGTGTTCAAACATAGGTTGACAAATCATACTATCTTGCCTAATTTTCACCTTTTTCCTTCCTGAATTTTTGAAACTCTTAGACTGCGCAGGGAATTTTCCATTTGTAATAGTGACAGTAATGTAAGTTCTCACTGATGATGGAATAAAAATATTACTTTTACTATTTCTGCATAATAGAATGAAATTGTGTGTGATGTGTCATTTGTGTTATCGGTATATTACGCACTGAACATTCATAATGTCGTAAGTACTTTTGATTAGAAGGAGTGCTACGTGGTGGTCATACGAGGTGCGATCGGAAAGTTTCAAGACTGTGTCAATAGAGGGCGAACCGGATGTAGTACGAGCTTCTGCCGCTAGGGGGTGCGGCCTACATTCATAGTGAATCAGTGTGCCAGCCGGCATCATCGAATTAGCATTTGTTTCTTAGTTACGGGCGTTTTGGTAGGTCATTACACCGACCCTCCTGCGATTTCGGAATGGCGTGTGCATCAAATTTTGCCAAAGACTCGCCAAAACGGCTACAGAAACCTATGAAATGCTAAAGCAAGCATTTGGGGAAATACTTCGAAATGGGTCGTGCACAAACTTTTGTGAGGCATTC